AACGCGACATCTGCATGTGAACTTTCATTAAGCCCAGCTTTTCACGCAAGTCAAATAATTATATTTTTTTTGTTTTTTTATTAAATAATATATTATAAAATGGTTATAAATACTGCCTGGCCAAATTGGATTTAAATTGCCAATGCAAGAGTCACTCTCAGCACTCTGTAAAGTCTCCCAACCATTCTTTTACTATTTGAGCCTGATGAATCTTGACATTGTCATCCTGGAATATGGCCTTGATGTGTCTTACATGGTTGTTTAAGAAATGAAAAGCTACACACTCCATCAATTAGGATTGGAAGAACTGTTGCTAAACACAAAAAATCACTGCAATAATGATCTAGTCAGAGACTCTTAAAGTCCCACTGTGGTGAAAATCAAGGTTTTAATGTTTTATATGTCTATGTGGTGTTTTTAATATGCTTTAAACATGTGCAAATGCATAAGTCAACACCATTGCTGAGTATTTTCTCCTTAAAACTGCAGTGAACCAAGGACAGTCTCAAAAATGCAGTTTTAAATCGCTGGTGTTTCTGACGTCACAAACTACCTTGTAACCAATCACGTCAACGTGTGATCGTCAACGAGTGGATCTATGAGTGAGTGGAGGCGGGGCTAATTTGCAATGAGGCAAGGGTGTAGAGTTACATTCAAGCTATTTAAAGGAGTAGTTCACTTTAAAAAAAACTTTTGCTGATAATTTACTCACCCCCATGTCATCCAAGATGTCCATGTCTTTCTTTCTTCAGTCGAAAAGAAATTAAGGTTTTTGATGAAAACATTCCAGGATTTTTCTTCATATAATACACTTTGCTGGGCACCAAACGGTTCAAGGTCCAAAAGACAGTTTCAGTTTCCGAGTCAATTCGTTCATTTCGTTCGTTAAATGAATCAAATGACACGAAAAAAGATTCGTTCATTTTGATGAACGAGTTCGAACAGGAGAGTCACACAGAACAGAGCAAGGCGGGCATTTGAGCTTATAAAACTTAAACTTTGTTATTTATTTTTTAAATGAGCGATCGTTTCGCTTGATAAGACCCTTATTCATCGTCTGGAATCGTTTAAAGCCCTTTGAACAGTTTGCAGTTTGCACTGAAACTGTCTTTTGGACCTTGAACCGTTTGGTGCCCAGTAAAGTGCATTATATGGAGAAAAATCCTGGAATGTTTTCATCAAAAACCTTAATTTTTTTTCGACTGAAGAAAGAAAGACATGGACATCTTGGATGACATGGGGGTGAGTAAATTATCAGCAAACGTTTTTTTTAAAGTGAACTACTCCTTTAAGGCATGAAGAATTTTTTTTTTTTCAAGGAAAAAACTTTTAAATATGACATTTTGGTGATCAAAGATGAGTTTGAAGGGGTAAAATTATTGACTACATGGGGGCCTTTAAGCATTTGCCTATTTACATCCAAACAGCAGTGTGTGTGTGTGTGTGTGTGTGTGTGTGTGTGTGTGTGTGTGTGTGTGTGTGTGTGTGTGTGTGTGTGTGTGTGTGTGTGTGTGTGTGTGTGTGTGTGTGTGTGTGTGTGTGTGTGTGTGTGTGTGTGTGTGTGTGTGTGTGTGTGTGTGTGTGTGTGTATATCTTACCAGCTGAGAGCCACATTGATTTATACCACATGTGTTTTTTTCCTACAATGCATGGCTTGTTATCTCCCTCTTGTGGTCACATTGAACCTCACATCCTCATAAACTACAGGAGACGGATCTCATGACAGCTCTTGACATGGTCATGACAGCTAATAGCACACACTCTTGACTAATCTGACAGGAAATGGCATTAACATGTAAACACTATTTACATTATACATAATACACTGCTGGATTTAGCAGTCTGTCTGTAGTATTTCAACCCAGCTCATTTAAGACTTTATGAACTCACTGGCCAGTAAAGCAGGGCAATTAACTTCGGCAGTAATCAAAGGAGATATATGCAAACGGGACATATTGAGTTATGAGACACTCGTAGGGAATGGGAAGACGGGGTCTCGGATTTACAGCCACCGAGTTCAAACAGAGTTTCATTTACGTTAATAAAGTTGCTTCACTTGAACTGCGACTCTGGGGAAATGATATGAAAAGATGCACAGGCTGATTCACATAAAATAGGCTACTGTAAGAGAGCTTTTACATTGTTCATATTTTTTACGAAAAGAAAAGAAATCTCATAAATTCCATCAAGTTGCTTCACAAGCCAGGAGTCAATAGCCCAATTTTGCGACATGGCCCTCTATTTGAGCATTGTTTTCAATCATGTATTTTGAATTAATTGAAATAACAGTGTGATTATTTGTTTGTTTGTTTGTTTTTTCCACCAAATTTTAAAGTATGTGTCATTGCAGACATCGACTAATATATATATATATTCAGAAATAAAAAGTGTGACAACCACTCCCCTTTTTTTCTAAATATTTATCTATAAATAATTAAATAAAAGCAAGCCAAGGTCTATACTGCAGCAAACACAGTTAAGATTTAAAGGCAGAAACCTATCCTCATCTGATTACATCCTCATTAACTCTCATCTTACCCTTACCGGATGATGAAAGATAAAAGGGAACAGATGTTATGAGAGCAAAATGAATTTCTGCATTTCAGTTTCACATCTTATGTGATGTGAAAATCTCTCAGGCATGGTCCACTATTGAAACCCTCTGCTTTCATGGCTGACCGTCAGTAATTACTCTCTAGCCGTAAACCAGCATGATCAGAGCAGAGGAAATATTGGAAAGCTGCACAGAATAACAAAAAAACAAGTGTTTTTCTGGATTCTTAAAATGAATCATACCAACACAAACGTCTCAAAAGCAAACAGTTATAAACTTCACAACCACAACAAACCCGGAGGTTTACATGGACAATGGTCTTCCAGACCTTCTGCATTGGATGCTCTGTGAGCTGTTATGGTGTGTTCACACCGAACGCGAATTTAATTATTTGCGCGAGTAGATTACATACAAAGTCAATGCAAAGACGCGAATAGACGCATTATTCGCGCCGGGCGTTGCGAATGACGCGAATTGGGCGATGCGTAGCCGCGAATGTCTTCCGCGCAAGTTGAAAGATTTGAACACGAGCGAATGTTCAAGCGTCTAACTAAACGCGATAGACGCGTATTTGACGCTCTATTCGCGTTCGGTGTGAACACACCTTTAGGATGACAAAAAAGGACCATAGACATATTACTGCAATCTTCTGAAGTCACAAGATAGTGCGAGTTGAAGACTAAATGTTTGGCTTGTTATGGCACTTCTATGTTTTTTTTTTTTTGTCATTTTTGGAGCTTAACAACTTTGGTCACCATCCACTCTCATTATAAGCAGCATGAACAGCCTACCATCTCTTTCTGTGCTGCGGAAGAAATAAAAAAGTAATGTTGTTTTGAAACAACATGAAGGTGAGTAAATGACTATACGCTCTGTTACTCCAAGCGTTCTGTTACAAGCGTAATATGTTTACCATAATCTCTCAATATTTATTTTTCCTCTTTTGGAAAGTCATGGAAACACTATCATGAATGTTTTTTTTGTTTCGTTTTTTTAAGCTGGAGCAAGTGGGAATATATATGTATTCACATTTACATTTACCCAACTATGAAATTCCACTTTTGAGAACCCATAATGTAAAAAGAGTCCATTCATGTCACAATATTTCAGATACAATCATTTACCTTATAACTAATGTACTTGGATGAGAGCAACAAACACCATTTTAAGTCACATGCCTAAAAAATGGTTTTAGGGCTATTTAACTATTTAGGCCAAAGATTCCAAAACTATAATACATTCATATTTTAAGATAATATTTCAATAATTTAACAATACTTTTCTGTTCATGGTTCTCTGATGTCGGTTAATGGCCACATGGCATGCAGGTATTTTAATAAACGCTTTGTGAACCCCTTATTTAGATATAGGCTATTTCTAGACCAGTAGAGAATAGAAAGCACACTACCCACTGTAGTCCATAAACATGATTTACTGCATCTGGTTTGGAAGAACTTGACTGACCCGCACAAAGCCCAGACCCGAATCCCACTAAACACCTTTTTGGGATGAATTGGAACAGCAGCTGTGATCCAGACCCCATTTGCCCAAAGTCCGTCCCTGACCTCACTGAGGCTTGTGTGTCTAAATAGGAATGGATCCCTGGAGTCATGTCCATCATCTAGTAGTGGAAAACCAGGAAGACCAGCTCCTCAAGTCCATGGTTTTGAAATTCAACAAGCTCAAATGGGGATGTTTTTTAGATGTCTACATACTTTTAACCATTTATTTATGTTCCCACATGACAAGCACCTTGTATATGCCCAGAACCAGAGCACTTTTCAAAATGTATTAAGAAATAATCATCTGGTGCCAGATCACAGTGCGTCCTCGGAACATTATTCTGTTTCAGAGCTGTCTAAATATAGGGCTTCAAAACCACAACGGGCTCATCTGAAGCTTGGTTTGCTTCATCATCATCATCATCATCAGCTGAGGGACGCAACACCATTAGCACCTCGCCTAAATGACCTGTCACACAGACGACAGCAACAAAGACAGCAGACACTGTGAAGCTTCTTTCACATAGTTAGGCTCATATTTGTGCACTGCAAACTAGTATACTGGATTTTTTGGCGAAAACATCATTTATATCTGTACAAATATCTGATTTCAAAAGACCGTCCAGTCAAATAAATGCCTTATTGAAAAGATTCTTGTATGAATGATTTTGTGATCACACAGAACCCTAAACTGTAAAAAAAAAAGTTATCAAAAAAATACTTTTAATGCAAAATAATCAACCTTACTACATGAATCTGATTACTATACTTTTCAGTGTAAAAAAATAGTGTCTGGTTTGCTAAATCAATGCAACTTTATCTATATTATTGCATATTTTAAAAATGCATTTAATGAAAAGAAGTATAAATAAATGTATAAAAAATACATAAACACATTCTCTTATATTGCATAAATGGCAAAAAAATGAATATACTGGACTTACTACTGGTTAAGTGTTGTCTGAGCTTTCTAAACAAAGATGATTTGGAAAACGTCCATGGTTGGGTGGCCTGTGCAGAGGCATCAGGTCCAGACTTGACTTCACGCGTGTCTTCCATGTTCATCTTCCGTTTTTTTGCGAGGAGAAGAGAAACTGGTTAGAAAGAAATGAAATGGCCTTCAATCAAATCAGGTGTAAAGACAAGTCAGTGCAGTCAACCTCCGTCTCATAGAACCCTCTTTACAAACTGTTCCACAGCAAGATCATTTCATTTGAAATCCACAGCACCACTAGTACGTCATGTGGTCAGATTTTACTATTTGGCAACAACAAGTGCAAATGGACAGTGTAATTTACATAAAACCCAGCACTGCTGGAAAGTTTACGGTGATCTTCTAATATCAGTAGGATTATAGTCTTGCTATTTTAGGGGGCATTTGTCATCATGGTGGGGTAACCCAAGGGCTCTCCTGTGACCCTCTTAGTGGCCAGCTGCATATCTTTAGTGCATAAAGTTTAAAATGATGAGGGACATTACCATCTTTTCATCAGGGTCATCCATCAAGTGGACCCCACATGAAATGTAATGCCCACGATGTTGAGCCATCTTTCAAAAGACATCATTACAAAAATTGAGATTTATTACCAGTTCTGAATGCTTTTGAATGTTTTTCTGTTCACAGACAGACAGATGCTTGTATTCATTGCTAAAAAATACAAATATTAATACATATTTAAATAATCCTCCTTTTGGCACCTGGCTGTCCCTGTCTGGTTTAATATGGCACTTATTCATCATGTAAAATTAGATATGTCTTACATGCGTGCCTTTCAAGTCCTAAACCTTTTTTTACCCCAGCAAAAGCTGCTGTAAGCACTGCAGTAAGTCTGTGGCTTTATTATAGTACTACGATTTCATGATCTGACTCCTAATGATCGCAGCATATGCCGTCAAAACTCTGCCAGTCTTGCATGTTAACACAGAAGAATAAGATCAGCACATTTCTTTACAAAGAACCTTTGGTCTCAGATTAGGTTTAGACATCTAATGGCGGATACTCCCTTGGTGATTTTGCAGATGGAACATAGTTAATTATGGCCACCAATGAAATTCAACCATCACTTTAGCTAAGCAAGAGACAAGGCAGTGGTTTCAATGCACTGGCCCAGAAAATGCATTCAGACTCGAATCGAAGTGAACTTGATCGTATTACACATGCTTCAGCAGCACAGGGACAGACTTTAAACATTCACAGGCTGATGAACCCAGAACACACCAAGTGATGGAATGCAACCAAAGAGTTATCATTTACAAACAGACCATTAGCACTGACTGTGGAATAAAAAGAAAAATAAGAGAGCAACCAAGTGATAATAGACATTCATACCAACACACACACACACTTTTAACCTAAAATATTGATGTTCATTAAAATAATTCCCTGCTTTATTTATTTATTTATTTGAGCAGTAACCATTCTGCTCAAAAGGAGTGAGCCGAAGCAAAGGAGCTTATAAGCGCCCACCCCTTGCAAATGCTTGCAAATTTTTTTTTTGAAGTATATTACCATTGGGGAATAAAAGTAAACAAACATATAAATAAATAGCATTAAAATATAAAATATTATAGCTTCAAACTCATAAACCCTCAGGCCACAAGGAGCAGAATTTGACCCCAAAAAAGTAGGGGTTGTCTATGTTAACAGAATATGTTGATTTAAATATATTTAAATATGTTTGTTTAAATAAATAAATAACTTTAAGAGATAACATTTAAAATTGTTTAGAATCTCATCTACAGCACAGTGACAATATAAGTCAGTTATTTAACGTTAACTAGGCTATATTAACTTTAGAATATCACACTGGGATTTCATACATGAAAATAGGCCTTTGCAGTTTAAGAAGGACAGAGTGGATAATTTTTCAAATAGCATGAGAACTGAAGATGCGTTTGTTTGTGAAGATTAATACTGAATGCAATTAATACCTATAGTATGCGTTCACTTCAGCAGGGCCCGTTAAACTTTTATTTTGGATGCATAGTGATGGAAACTTGGACATGCGTCTATCATCTGAGAGGTAAACAGAGTTCAAGGTGTGTGTTATGATTTATCATAGATATAACAATCCCACTAGATGGAGCTAAAGGCATTGCATTTAAAAATCTAAATTTACAAGTGTATAATATGTACACGGATAAAATTAAATACATGGAAAGGGATAAAAGTACAGATAGCACTAATTCAGTGCCGTATGAACGGCTTGCTAATTATATAATGGGAATAAAATAAGGCCAGTTTTAAATTATGTCTAAAAAATATGGGCTATTATTCAAATAGAATCACATATTTGCCAAAATACTGCCAAGTTGAATGCATATTTTTTATTGTAGCAATTTAAAAAGCGTATGTGAACACAAAAAAGTCACAATACTTCCCTGCTAATTGTTGTGATGCCTTGTGTGTCATCGCCCGCCCCGACGCTCCTCCTGCTGTTCAGCCATTGGCTGCTTTGCACAGAAAACAGCGCAGACTTTCAGCTCGGAACGTTCCTATTGGTTGTAATGTATATTTGCATAAAGTCTCAGTTCGTGATTGGACAACGGCATGTCAATCACTATTTACACATTCCCCTGCTTTTGGATATTACCTCAGGAGACTCCACAGTTTTTCATCAGTGAGGACTGGAATGTGAACAAAGTAACAGCCAACCAGACAAGAGGTGAACTAAACTATGATTCCTTCCCTAATTCTAAAACCGCACAACGTCAGGATTTGCCACTAACGCGCAGAACACTGTAAGTATGGCATGTCTTTCTAAAAAAAAAAAAAGTCTTATATTTAGAGCAAGAAGCTTAAGTTAAGATGACTAACACTCTAACGTTACCAACATCTGCACTGTTCTTCCTGTTTTGGGCAGAGCTGGAAAAGCCAATACAATCAGTCAGGATTAGATGTGAGCTGGATAGGGACTGGTGAACACCTGGGTGTAAATCGGAAGATAATTATCGCTTACAGGGAAAGCAGCGTCTTTACGTGTCTCTAATCACCAGGAGTTTGTCAGGCTTTCTCTGCATGTCAATACGCTGAGTTACAACTCTCCGCTAACAGCATTAGCTCCTCTCATTCACAGTATCGTTACTGAGCGGTCGCTTTAAATTAAACGCACCCTAATCTGTCATTTCTGATATTACTGATATTATTTTATATTACAATTACATTTTACTTTATTGTAAGTTATCCAGTTACCGTTTTACATTGTTTAACGCACTAGCGAGCTGGCTAACTCTAGCTTGAGTTCCGTGCGCGCATTTCTGAAGTCTCGAATAGTCGCCGTTTATTACAAACCAGCCTTATTCATTGCGTTATGTAAGTTATCTTAATGTTGACTTTTTATAGTCTAAGGAGGCGACATGTTAACTGAGGGAATAACTAGGGTAAAATTGTGTATTGTATTTTATTATTATTTTCACCCAAGCCCGCGCCACAGTACACCTGCTCCGACAGAATATTGACACAATTCAAATATGTTTGTGTGATAAGAGTCAGGAAATTCACAATGCATCATACAAGGTTCATGGTTCATGTATAACGGCAGTATTTGAAGTTCATTCCGGTTATTTTTGCATCGGTCATAGTTCACGTAGACAAGCCTATCTAACCTCATATTGGCTGCTCTTGCAAAGTTTTCATGACCCTAAAATTGTCATTATATTCGCCTTAATTACTCAGCTGTTACATTTATGCATTACACTACCAGTGGTTCTCAGTTTTGTTCCCTATTAACACAAAGTTTTGGTATGCTCTATAATTTAACAACCGATTTCACTTATCGGCTCATTTTTAGATGCTGTATGCCCTAAAATGGGTGTCAAATAAGGGATTCAGTCCTGGGTGTCATTGCAGGTTTGTGAAATGCTGCTTTCACTGATTTATGTAGTTCTAAGAAATAAGGAACCAAACACGGGACTGTTTTTAATGCTTTCTTTCACTAAAGTTGTTGTTGACATCACCACCAAAATGGCCATACTATTAAAACCCTCTGTAACATTAGCAGCAAACTCAATTTACAGTTTATGCAGTTTCTCATTCTCAATTCTAAGTAGGCTATTGTCTGTAGCAACTAGTGAAGTGTTCGGCTAGGAGACGGTACCCTCAAAAGGAAAACTTTGTACCTTATTTATTTACCCCTAAAAGGTTTATAGTAGTATCTTAAGGGAACATATCAGTGGTCTATGGTACTAACTTGCCCCTTTTAGGGGTAGATAAGGTACAAAGTTGTCCCTTTAAGGGTACTGTCCCAGTGACAAGCTGTTGTTCCTCTAAAAGTAAAAATGTTTGCGACTGTGTTTTCGATAGTGATTGTAATTATTAATATCCAGAAGACATCTGCTATAGCACCCCTTTTGGAGAAACAAAAAGAACGTGCTCTGTACTGCCGCATTTTGAATTGCAGCGGTGCACAATCTGCACATAATCAAGCTTGCATAGAAACATCTGTGTCCACATACTTGTGTAAAATGTTTTAGGCTGAGTGCTGATAGAAGAATTTGGTCCTGATGATGATGGACTTCATGCAGGCCAGTGATTCATTGAGCTTTTTCAAATCAGTGAGGTTGCCAGCTTTTGACTTTCCTCGAACACACAAAACGCACCTCCCTCCCTCCTTTGCTGTAGCTTAACTGAAATACAGCTCTAGAATACCAACATCCTCAGTGAAAAGAACCTGGAAAAGCTATTTAGTCCGAGGAGCTTGGATGTTTACACAGGAAGAACATTCAAAGAACATAAGACCTTTGTGCCTGAGCCTCTCAGTGGCATTGCAATTAAAAGGTGTCATTCATGCTGGTGAGAACATCCGCATGGATAGGTAGTTAGTTTGTTCGCATTGAATGATTCAGCAACTTTGGCACAGCTCATGCTGTTGTTGAGTGATGGTTACCATGGGTGATGGGATGAACCATGCAGGAACTCCAAGGCAGTTTCATCAAGCTGTGAAATAATAGTTAGGCTTCTTTTTCAGCTCTTTTTTTTTTTTTTTTAAGTCAGCCACAAACCTGACCATAAGTCAACTCTTGTGGAATTATGCAACATTTAATCTATTGTCACGAAAGCCATAGCTTGCAAGAAATGCCTGGAAAT